CTCTTCTGTTCTTTTCTCCAGGCGTTTGTGCGCTGAGGTGCCCTCTCTCACACACGTGCACGCGCGCACGGGGGGGCGCGCGCACTCACACTCCGTTTCTTCCTCTCTCTTGCTCACACAGGGATCCTTTTCTTTTTTCTTCTTCTTCTTCCTTTTTTTTTGATAAAGTTAAAGGGACGTTTGCATAAAACTCAAGCGCCTGGCTTCAGCGTTCATTTTTATTTGCAAAGGGGGGGCCACCGTCATCTTTCGTGACCTTAGGAACAAAGCAAACGCCTCATAAATTTCCACTGAAGATAGCGCAGTTGTTTATCCTACCCCAAGAACAAAAACAAAAACGCGAATGTGTGAAGCTGCCTTATGTTGGGGCAGACCAGTGTTGGCTACTTCAGGGCTATAGCATTTGGACGTTACAAGCCAAACAGTGACGTCTGTGGCGTAGTCGACCTTCGTCTTCATTTTGCGATCGGAGCCATTTAGCCAAAACAAGAGGTAAGGGTGACCCCCACCATACGTGCTTTGAGTGGGTTGCGTCCAGCTTGTCTGGTCTCCAGTTGAATCTCCTTGGATTTGGCCAGTAACAGCTGTCCAAGCTCTAAAATTAAGACAGATAGCTAGGATTACACCTGGGACTTTCTGCAGGCAAAGTATGTGCCTTGTTATTGATCTAATGCCCCTTCAACATGTCTAGCATCTTTTGCAAGCCTGGAAGATTTTTGAGTCAAATGCAGCACACAGTCTGAGTACTGCATCTCTACTCCTCTCTATTTTGGAAACAATACCAAGTAGTTGATGAAGGCTCTCCTGATCCATTAGAGAGGGTCTGACCCAGATATTTTTATGTCTGGAGCAAAGAACCAAACCCACCAATTTTATGTCACTCAAAATGCATGGTATTGAAGGCCAGAGCCATTATTTTAGCACTGGAAGCAGAAATATCTTACAAAAGTTTCTACCTTGGTAGTAAAGATATATAAGCATGATGGGTTAAATAAAGAACTATTTGCTGCCTTATCATGACTATCAAAGTCAGCTGCCTGAGGCAGCCACTCTGATTTACAGTATTTTTTAAAAATGGTGCCGATCTACTGAATGTCTGACCTTGCTCCCAAATTGGTGGCTGAGTGATTCCTGCTTAGTGGATCACAATTTGGTCATGTTGTGAGTCAAAGGGATATTGCATCATTGCACCCATCTCTTCACTTAAATTTCACTTCTCCACTGTTGAAAGTCAAAATGAGCCAAAATCCTGTGGCGTCTTTAAGATTATCACATTTATTACAGCATAATCAGCCCTGAACTACCATACGTTGCATCGCAGTCAACAAAGACCCCACCCCCCCAAAAAAGCATGTTTTATTTCTTACAGGCTTTCAGACTGCAGCCCCTTTTTCAGAGGGCGTATAAGTCTTCTGTTCATTTTGCTGCAAAAGATCAACACATAGTATTTTAACAATTACATTCTGTCCTTGAAAAATTATAAATGGTGTTACATCGTCTGTAGCTCACATAGAGCCAGTTTAATACAATGTTAATGAGCTCAGTACCTCTCTCCTGACTCCATCCTATGGAAGCCTGAGATTTTTAGGTTGATGAGTTACTTAGAACTCTTTGCTAGAATATGCTATGGCCCAGCATCCTAAGTGGGTAACAAATCTCAGGATTCTGTAGGAGAGAACCATGACAATTGGTGTTATATCCAACTACTGTCATTCTGTAGCATTGACACAATCATATTTTCCTGAAAGCTTCCTTGTTCACATTCTGTATAGTAAAAGACTGCCACTCCTTAACACAGGCTTCCCAAACCCTTCTAATTTGCTGTACTACAGTTCCCATCATACTCAGCAAGTCCGCCCAATGGGGATGTAGCTTAAAACATCTGGAAGATGCTGGGTTGAGGAATGCTACTTTAACAGATATAATCATCCCCAGCAGTAAGTCTCCACTAATGGGCCATGTCTAATAGGCCTCATTCTTTATTTATAATGGTACTCCTGTGTGAATGTACATTGACTCAATGGTTTTTCTTGCATTTCCAGGCATTTTTAAAGTGGCATCATTCTTGTTTCAGTACTAGGTCATCATTCTGTTGACAACATTAAAATAGCGTACTTACCATACATACAATGCAACCAAGAAGCTTGGTAATGAAAAAAATTAAAAAGCAAAGGAATAGGAAAGTAGAAGGCAAAGACAGATCATGGAAATATGTGATTCTAAAAATGAAACAAACAGTATAGAGATAGGAAGTGCAGAATGTAGACGCAGAAGACAAAGATAGATCATGGAAATATGAGGTTCTAAAAATGAGGGAAACAGTATACAGATGGGAAATGCAGCACGGAACTATAGCTGCTTACCATAAGGTAGCAAGGAGAAACATGGAGCATGTGTAGCAAGAAAGAGGAAAGAAAAAAAATCTTTAGCCACAGATTTGAGTGGACTCAAAGACAAGATAGTAATTATAGTAAGCAGCTATAATTTGGTTTTGTTCTGGTCAAGGGAAGTGATTTTTAAAAAAAGAATTATATTGAGTGGTCTTGCCATTTGACATCTTTGCAACATTCAAGAATAGTATGTTTCTAGTAATAACTATTTAGATATCAAATATTCAATATAAAAGCTAACTAAGCACTTATTTGTGTAAGAAAAACATCCAAAATGCAGGATCTTATACAGTATAATATCAGACAACAGATTTTAACTAAAAACTACCTATTATTTACATATTTGTGTAGTATGTATGCTGTTCCTAATATTGCCATTTTTGCAGCTCTGGTAGTGTTATTGCACAGATACACAGCTGATTATAATATTTTATAATATTCTGTGGCATTGTTCCCAATGTCCCAATGTCTATGAGGACCACTGAAATGTATTTCATTCACAGGTAAGTTACTTCTATTGCCAGGTTTCTGCATTTTGTTAATTTTTCCAATTCTTTATCTTCAACTCTGGCATCCCCTAGAATTACAATATCAGTTATCCAAACATTCATTTGTTCTGTTACTGTTACATCTGGTATATTATGCTCAAGATCTCTGTCACCGTTTCATTCTGAAAGTCCCACAAGATCTTAACTTTGTCATTTTCTGACCACAGATTCTTGGATACTGACAGATTATATTTTTTTACATAATTACTGATGTGTTAATTTTGCAATTCCATTGTGTCTAGCTTTATAGTCTGCCTGAGCAATCTTTTAACATTCACAAATGATGTGCGATACAGTTTCATATTTTTCTTAACATATATGACATTTGCTGTTTACACTAATTTCTTCAATTTTAGCCTCCATGACATTAGTTTGGTGCGCTTGTTCTTGTGCAACATAGATCAAGCCTTCATTTTCTTTCTTGATGGTCTCCAATTTTAGTTATGCCCAAGTTATTATCATGCTTTCCATCAATATTTCCCTGATGTTGTCCATGTAGTGGTTTATTTTTTCCAGTTACTTAATTTATCTTAATTTTTTGTTTCTTATATTTAGCCTTTACTTCTGCCATTTTCAAAATGTTTTCCATTTTCACTGCTTTAACTTTTCTCTACTTCTATTAATATAATCATTTAGGTTTCTTTTTTTTTCTTCCTCTACTATGTGTTGTATTTGTAGTAATCCAAGACCTCCAGTTTTCCGCATTAAATATGATCTATCCACATCACTTTTTGGATGTAGCATGTGTTGCATGTTCATTAATATCCACATTTTAGATCCAATTTTTTTTCTAATTCTCCTTGGGCCCAATACAGCTGGGCATCTAATTAATGGAACTGTCCATGCATTTATGACTTTGATTGTATGATCACAATCATCATCACTCAATTTTAATTTTAAGTAGAGAGTACAAGGTTGGAACCAGATTGGCCATTCCATGAAGAGAAGGGCTACTGCAACACATGGCAGGAGAGCATCTACTGGAACAAAAACTGTTTGTACTCCCTTCTGCAACCCTGTGCATTGTATGACATTCTGGACATTTTTCCAGTTTTTAAGAGTACCTTTGCGGGGGTGGGAGATTGCAGAAGGACCAAAGAACTACTAAGATCTCCCTAATCCACCCACTTTCTGCAGTAGAAAGTAGAACTCTGTTTTTGTTTTTGTTTTTTTATCCAATCCCATAGAAAATAATATTGGATATTTCCATGTAAAGGATTTACACAGGCTATATAAAATGTTCTCTTCCTGTTAAACCAATAGTTGTGTATTTTAATCATTTTCAGGTAGAAATGTCTTTACAAATTTTACCCTCTCAGGG